TACTACTACTACTACAAATACTACTCGGGGCCGCTACATCTACACTACTACACTACTACCACTACTACTACTACTCCCTACACTATTTTGGGACTCACATGCTACTACTCTACTACAAACTACTACGGGGAAGGGCTCCCTGCTATTTACTACAAACTCCCTACTACTACTACTCTACTACTAAAACACGGGGCCCTCTCCCTGCTACACTACTACTACTACTACTACTCTACTATTTAATACGGGGAACGCCCCGCTACTATTTTTTTCTCTCTACTATTTAAATACTACTCACTACTATTACTAACTACTACTACTACTGGGACTCTACATGCTCAATGGCTCAGGCTAATGAGGTGTGTGTGTGTGTGTGTGTGTGTGTGTGTGTGTGTGTGTGTGTGTGTGTGTGTGTGTGTCTCTCTCTTTCTCTCCCAGGCCGCTCCTACAGTGTGTTCTCTCAGCGCATGTTGAACCAGTGTCTGGAATCTCTGCTGCAGAAGATCCAGAGTGGAGTGGTCCTCAGCTTTGAGAAGACAGGCCCTGACCCCTCTCCTGGAGAGGGTAAGACGCTATCATAGTGACGGAAGTCCCAGGATGTGATCTTTAATGGTCAAAACGTGGTACAATGGTCTTCAGTGCAAAAACTTCATAAAAGGCATCTGGCAGAAGTAAATATATCCACAAACACAAATATAATTTTATATATATCTTAAATTACTGCAAGAATTTGATATAATCCTCTAACCAATTTATAAGATTCAGGGATTGACTGCGGAAGTGTGATTTAGGATGGCATCACTTTCACAGGGGAGAGAGAGCGTGAGAGGGAGAGATTGATGGAGATTGGGGACAGTCTCAATTGAATATTCATTGCGTCCTCTCCTCGCCTCCTTCTCAAAACCCATTGGATGAGAGAGCCAGAGGTCCCTTGAAGGAGGCGAGGAGAATGCAATTGAGATTTGTCTTATTGACAGCCAGTTGTTTTTCGTTCCCCTAGCCTCTATGCAGGTGTAGATCTGATTCACTTCATTTAACTCTCTTTCTGTCTCTGTGTCCAGATGAGATCCTGAAGTCCGGCCCCCAGTCCTGGCACTGCTGCCGCAAGCTGATCTACGTACGACCCAACCCCAAGACTGGTGTGCCCATCGGACACTGGCCCATTCCTGAAGCCTTCTGGCCCGACACTAACTCCCCCACCCTGGTAAGAGAGCAAGGGGGTGTGTGTGTGTTTGCGTGTGTTTGTTTGCGCGTGTGTGTGTGTGTGTTTGCGCGTGTGTGTGTGTTTGCGCGTGTGTGTGTGTGTGTGTTTGCGCGTGTGTGTGTTTGCGCGTGTGTGTGTGTGTGTTTGCGCGTGTGTGTGTGTGTGTTTTGCGCGTGTGTGTGTGTGTGTGTGTTTGCGCGTGTGTGTATGTGTTTGCGCGTGTGTGTATGTGTTTGCGCGTGCGTGTGTTTGCGCGTTTTGTGCATGTGTTTGTGTTTGCGAGCGTGTGTGTGTGTGTGTGTGTGTGTTTGTGTGTGTGTGTGTGTGTGAGAGAGAGAAGGAAGAGTGATGTTGGTGTGTGTGTTAGGGTTGGGCGGTATCCAGATTTTCATACCTTCATACCGTCCTTCTCTCACCCCGGGATTTACGGAGTTACCGTCTTATTACACAAGGGGGCGCCAAAAATGTAGCCCATTGGGCGTCTATTACCAGAATGCTAACACATTAGCACAATAATTGTGAATTTCTATGGAGGCTGCTAGCTAAATATGCTAACGAGCGTAAACGAAAATAAACTAATTGCAAAGACAGGCAATCCAGCTCATAAAGGTATACATATATAGGTAGGCGCTACCGAATGTCATTTTTTGGTGAGTTTGGACATTTACAAGCGAGTGTGAACTAGAGACGTTGTGCAAATGAACGAAGTTTTGACGCTTGTCTGAAGGAAGAACAGGACTGGCCCTCTAGCAGCATGTCTACACACTGTGTCTGTGTGGAGTCGCTAGGGCAACGGGCCTGCCTGCTCTGCTTGGAGAAGATGTGGGGAGGAGCAGACGGGCTGAGACCTGAGAGGAGGAAAAAAATGCAAGGAAATCAAGATGGCAGTGGCAGCTGTACAGATAACTCATCCAATGGGCTTTGACTTCTCAAACACGGCAGAAAGCCAACATAATATGATGCCCCGTCACCTTATTAATTCAGCCACTTACTGAGATAGCAAGTTAAACTTAAGGGTTCTGTTAATGCAGAATTCCGTGTTTTTCACGCAGGAAAAAAAGATAAAACGCATAAGAAATATCTTGCTGCGTTTTGTAAATGCAGATTTAAATGTATTCTTATTGTAAATTCTGCTCGCCATCAGACTCATTTTGGGCTTCAGTTGCCCTTCTAAACTCGGATGAGAATTCACAAATTGGCATTTTATCAGCAGACAGCTCTGACCGATGTGGAGCTACTTTTTTCTGGTACTTTTATCGGTTTAACCAGCCTACATTTCTCTGGTAAAATGCAAGATTAACTTTTAAGCAAAACATTAGGAAATGTAGCAGGCTACATTCTTTCTATGATAGGCCTAAACATTTTGAAATATGATGGCCATGATTTGTTTTTGCAAAATGACCTTGCTTTTTCATTGTAAGCTCATTTACTTGTGTGGCTGCCAGCCAAATAGCGTTGCACTTCTGTTGTCGTCTGATGAAAACGAAGCTATTTTCTGCCGAATGTGTTGCACTAATGTATTTTCTGTGAAGGAACACTACAGTTGCACGTCCCCTGATCACTCTATTGAAACAAGAAAACACTGTTGACTTTCAATATAAAACGGGACCCCTGTCAATACACAGCTGGACTTCCCCTGCTCACACTTTCTCCTGTTGTTCTATTAACAAACAAACAGGTGACTGGCTCAACTGTTCTGGGGAACTACTTAAGCTTCCTAACGTAAAATAATGTGACAGGTGAAATGAAGAACGTGATCTGCTTTATCTCCTAACGCATTGCACAAGCTGACTGCAGGTATTTACTTAAAGAATAGCTACAAATATTTATATTTATCGAAGAACTTTCAAAAAAAAAATAGTTTCAACGGTATTGACGGTATTGGAAAAACCATCCCGTGGCTATTTCCAAATACCCCGGTATACGTTATACCGCCCAAACCTATTGTGTATTTCTGTATGTTTTCTCTGATGTCCAACTTGTATTGCCCCTCTCCCAGCCCCCCCGCTCGGTACACCCCCACGTGCGTTTCTCCTGCCTGGATGCTGAGCCCATGGTGATAGACAAGGTTCCCTTTGACAAGTACGAGCTGGAGCCTTCGCCCCTCACACGGTACATCCTGGAGAGGAAGGCCCCTCACACCTGCTGGCAGGTACACAACCACACGATACACACGGTACATCCTGGAGAGGAAGTCCCCTCACACCTGCTGGCAGGTACACAACCACACGATACACACGGTACATCCTGGAGAGGAAGTCCCCTCACACCTGCTGGCAGGTACACAACCACACGATACACACGGTACATCCTGGAGAGGAAGTCCCCTCACACCTGCTGGCAGGTACACAACCACACGATACACACGGTACATCCTGGAGAGGAAGTCCCCTCACACCTGCTGGCAGGTACACAACCACACGATACACATGGTACATCCTGGAGAGGAAGTCCCCTCACACCTGCTGGCAGGTACACAACTCCACACGGTACATCCTGGAGAGGAAGTCCCCTCACACCTGCTGGCAGGTACACAACCACACGATACACAGCATTATACTACACAACACACAAAGCTTTCCTAGACACAACACTACACACAACACTACACACAATACTACACTACACACTACGCTACACACAATGCTACACACAACACTACACAACACCCTCATCCACTCTAAATACTCAGCACACTCTTTTGTCCTTACCAGTGAAGTGATAAAATAGTATCCATGTAATTCCATATTTCCTTCCTTTGTATATACCGGGATCTGATTCAGTAAATCCCATTAGGTGGACTTGTTTGTCTCTCACTCTGTTTTCTCCCTCCCTCCCTCCCTCCCTCCCTCCCCCCCTCCCTCCCTCCCTCCCTCCCTCCCTCCCTCCCTCCCTCTCTCTCTCTCCCTCCCTCCCTCCCTCCCTCCCTCGTTCCTCTTCCCCTCTAGGTGTTTGTAAGTAACAGTGCCAAGTACAGTGACCTGGGCCAGCCCTTTGGCTACCTGAAGGCCAGCACGGCTCTCAACTGTGTCAACCTGTTTGTCATGCCCTACAACTACCCTGTTGTACTGCCTCTACTGGGTAAGACCTGGGAGCCGTCCTAATACTCTAACTACCCTGTTGTACTGCCTCTACTGGGTAAGACCTGGGACCCGTCCTAATACTCTAACTACCCTGTTGTACTGCCTCTACTGGGTAAGACCTGGGACCCGTCCTAATACTCTAACTACCCTGTTGTACTGCCTCTACTGGGTAAGACCTGGGACCCGTCCTAATACTCTAACTACCCTGTTGTACTGCCTCTACTGGGTAAGACCTGGGACCCGTCCTAATACTCTAACTACCCTGTTGTACTGCCTCTACTGGATAAGACCTGGGACCCGTCCTAATACTCTAACTACCCTGTTGTACTGCCTCTACTGGGTAAGACCTGGGACCCGTCCTAATACTCTAACTACCCTGTTGTACTGCCTCTACTGGGTAAGACCTGGGACCCGTCCTAATACTCTAACTACCCTGTTGTACTGCCTCTACTGGGTAAGACCTGGGACCCGTCCTAATACTCTAACTACCCTGTTGTACTGCCTCTACTGGGTAAGACCTGGGACCCGTCCTAATACTCTAACAACCCTGTTGTACTGCCTCTACTGGGTAAGACCTGGGACCCGTCCTAATACTCTAACTACCCTGTTGTACTGCCTCTACTGGGTAAGACCTGGGACCCGTCCTAATACTCTAACTACCCCGTTGTACTGCCTCTACTGGGTAAGACCTGGGACCCGTCCTAATACTCTAACTACCCTGTTGTACTGCCTCTACTGGGTAAGACCTGGGACCCATCCTAATACTCTAACTACCCTGTTGTACTGCCTCTACTGGGTAAGACCTGGGACCCATCCTAATACTCTAACTACCCCGTTGTACTGCCTCTACTGGGTAAGACCTGGGACCCGTCCTAATACTCTAACTACCCTGTTGTACTGCCTCTACTGGGTGAGACCTGGGACCCGTCCTAATACTCTAACTACCCTGTTGTACTGCCTCTACTGGATAAGACCTGGGACCCGTCCTAATACTTCAACTAAGAACCTACAGGAGGGTGTCTCTCCAGGAACAGGGTTGGAGTGAAAACCTACAGGAGGGCAGGGCTGGGCGATTATATAGAATTAATTCAAATGTGTTTTAGCGCAATGTTCCAAATGCCTGTATCGCAAGAACCCTTCGCTCCTTCTGTGCACTTTCCCACCAAGCCCCCCCCCCCCCCCCCCCCCCCCCCCCCTGCCAAGACGAAAGATAACTTCTTCCTCTCTGACAACAAGCAGTTTAAAACTCTATTTGCGTTTGAGGTTTGGTCCAACAGAATGTAGAACAGATCAGACCCTACTAAGACAGCAGTATCAATGAACATGATTGTGGAAAATGAATGTTCAGTTTCTGTCGCGTGCAGCCATTGTGGTACCATGTACTGTCTAGTCTGTGTTTAATAAACGAACGAGGATCATGAAAAGATGCATTTATATCAGGAATTGGCAACTCGTTCTCATTCTGAGAAATAAGCATCTTCTTATCCAGGTAGGCCACTTGATTTCAACATCTAAACAAAGTGAACAGGCTATGTTGTTCAAACAGTTGGAGACGGACAGGAGGGTGTGTTCATAACAGTTACATTTACGTCATTTAGCAGACGCTCTTATCCAGAGCGACTTACAAATTGGTGCATTCACCTTATGATAGCCACTTTACAATTATTATTATTATTATTTTTTTTGGGGGTAAGGGGAGGTAGAAGGATTACTTTATCCTATCCCAGGTATTCCTTAAAGAGGTGGGGTTTCAAATGTCTCCGGAAGGTGGTGAGTGACTCCGCTGTCCTGGCGTCGTGAGGGAGCTTGTTCCACCATTGGGGTGCCAGAGCAGCGAACAGTTTTGACTGGGCTGAGCGGGAACTATGCTTCCGCAGAGGAAGGGGAGCCAGCAGGCCAGAGGTGGATGAACGCAATGCCCTCGTTTGGGTGTAGGGACTGATCAGAGCCTGAAGGTACAGAGGTGCCGTTCCCCTCACAGCTCCATAGGCAAGCACCATGGTCTTGTAGCAGATGCGAGCTTCAACTGGAAGCCAGTGGAGTGTACGGAGGAGGGGGGTGACGTGAGAGAACTTGGGAAGGTTGAACACCAGACGGGCTGCGGCATTCTGGATGAGTTGTAGGGGTTTAATGGCACAGGCAGGGAGGCCAGCCAACAGCGAGTTGCAGTAATCCAGACGGGAGATGACAAGTGCCTGGATTAGGACCTGTGCCGCTTCCTGTGTAAGGCAGGGTCGTACTCTGCGAATGTTGTAGAGCATGAACCTACAGGATCGGGTCACAGCCTTAAACTGTTCTACCTTGTTAGCAAGCCAATGGATCCAAGTTGACTTTAAATATAAAGATTAGCTGGCCACTCACTAGCAGGTGGGCTCGTGTTTGAGAGATCGTTTATGAGACCTTTTCTATAATGCCTGCTATAAGAGGTTGGTCATTATTAGTGGATGTGCATTATGCATGGTTCTGGTAAAATTTGTAACAAAAATGGATTTTTCATAGACGGACTTGAAAGCCAGATAATGCAAATAGTAGAGGGTCTTATGCTTATGGATAAGCATGTATAATTTATAAGCCCTGAATTCATTAGATTATTCCTGACTGTTTTGAAATGCAGTGTATTGACCTGGGTTTCCGTTAGCCGGTAAAAGCTGGCTTTTGACCAACAAAATTCGAAATGAAAAAAGCCTATAAATAAAATTGTTGCCGACCAAATTGTCCGGGAGAAAAAAAGAAATCCATTGCAAAATAATGTTTTTTTTTTTTTAAATTAATTGATGGAAATACCAGTTAATGTGCAAAAATAATAAATCATCAAGCTGCTGGACATTTAGTATAGGGGGAGTTTCTATTATAACTCAAGCTGAAGACGTGAGGTCCTCATAAGGGACTTCAGCTAAGTGTCCCCTGACTGGACAGAAGACGCCAGGTCCTCATAAGGGACTTCAGCTAAGTGTCCCCTGACTGGACAGAAGACGCCAGGTCCTCATAAGGGACTTCAGCTAAGTGTCCCCTGACTGGACAGAAGACGTGAGGTCCTCATAAGGGACTTCAGCTAAGTGTCCCCTGACTGGACAGAAGACATGAGGTCCTCATAAGGGACTTCAGCTAAGTGTCCCCTGACTGGACAGAAGACGCCAGGTCCTCATAAGGGACTTCAGCTAAGTGTCCCCTGACTGGACAGAAGACGCCAGGTCCTCATAAGGGACTTCAGCTAAGTGTCCCCTGACTGGACAGAAGACGCGAGGTCCTCATAAGGGACTTCAGCTAAGTGTCCCCTGACTGGACAGAAGACGCGAGGTCCTCATAAGGGACTTCAGCTAAGTGTCCCCTGACTGGACAAAACTGGAGAAGATTGTGTTGATTATCCCCGTTTCCAGTGAGCCCGCCGAGAGGGGATTCTTTCTCCAAAACAAGAGTAAAGACGGCCTCCAGATCGCCCCCTTCTTGAGGACAGAGTAGCGAGGCTGATGTGCATCAAGTTGCTCCAAGTAGTTGGACAGTTCTTCCCAGCAGCAGCCGCGGCTCGCTTTGAGCAGGCCATGGTCCACCGCCACAAACGCAAGTATATTAGAGGCATATTATTGTGTTGGTCAGGCCCGGTCCCAGCAGTTCTGCTGCCTCCCTAGGCAAGATCAACATATGCCTCCCCTGTGTCATGTATAGTATAACGATGTGGAATGGATTGATAGACTAGAGTAATGATTTGTATATTTGCACAATTGGTGCATTTCAGTTGAGCTTATTCCGTAGCACTTGGAAACTAAACATCGTTGGCAACTATTCACATCGGAGAGTTACAATGTTGCAATCACTAGGCAGCCAACTGTCTATAGTAGGAAACAGAGTTGTTATCAATCACCAGGCAGCCAACTGTCTATAGTAGGAAACAGTTATCAATCACTAGGCAGCCAACTGTCTATAGTAGGAAACAGAGTTGTTATCAATCACCAGGCAGCCAACTGTCTATAGTAGGAAACAGTTATCAATCACCAGGCAGCCAACTGTCTATAGTAGGAAACAGAGTTGTTATCAATCACCAGGCTGCCAACTGTCTATAGTAGGAAACAGAGTTGTTATCAATCACTAGACAGCCAACTGTCTATAGTAGGAAACAGTTATCAATCACTAGACAGCCAACTGTCTATAGTAGGAAACAGTTATCAATCACCAGGCAGCCAACTGTCTATAGTAGGAAACAGAGTTGTTATCAATCACTAGACAGCCAACTGTCTATAGTAGGAAACAGTTATCAATCACCAGGCAGCCAACTGTCTATAGTAGGAAACAGAGTTGTTATCAATCACTAGACAGCCAACTGTCTATAGTAGGAAACAGAGTTGTTATCAATCACTAGACAGCCAACTGTCTATAGTAGGAAACAGTTATCAATCACCAGGCAGCCAACTGTCTATAGTAGGAAACAGAGTTGTTATCAATCACTAGGCTGCCAACTGTCTATAGTAGGAAACAGTTATCAATCACTAGACAGCCAACTGTCTATAGTAGGAAACAGTTATCAATCACTAGACAGCCAACTGTCTATAGTAGGAAACAGTTATCAATCACCAGGCAGCCAACTGTCTATAGTAGGAAACAGAGTTGTTATCAATCACTAGGCAGCCAACTGTCTATAGTAGGAAACAGAGTTGTTATCAATCACCAGGCAGCCAACTGTCTATAGTAGGAAACAGAGTTGTTATCAATCACCAGGCAGCCAACTGTCTATAGTAGGAAACAGAGTTGTTATCAATAAGCCACCTATATCACACATGACACAAGTCACGACCCCAATAAACATAACAGTTATTAACATCATCCAGTAGAACTGTATAAAGAGAGAAATAATTTGAGCTTTCATAAATGCATGGCGAGGGCCTCGTTTCTCAGGAGCGTTGTAAAATAAGCTTTCTCTCAATAAACCAGCCTTGATGGATTTTGTTTATTTACATATCAAATTTCATTGTCCAACATCAGTTTTATAATTTCTCCATTTTGTGGATGCCTAGAGTTTCCACTCTCCATTGCTGTGGGGCGGGCCGGCCGGTCACGGCTAGAAGGGATCAAGCTTTTGTCAAATTAACATCAAAACTTTTGGTGGATTTGAGCTAACCCTAACCCTTTTCCTAACCTTAACCTAATTATCCTAACCTGCTACGTTAATTTTCCTAACCACTGCATAAGTTCTCCTAACCTGCTACGAAAAGTCAAATCTGACGTTAATTTGACAAAAGCTGGATCCCTTCTAGCCATTACCGGCCGGCCCTGGTGTTCCTAGACAGCCATGTTGTGTTATTTATTAGGCTTAATTAAAATGTTAATTAAATGACATTAGAGAGGCTTAGATTGTATTTGAAAACAGCTGTGTTTTTGTTATTTATGAATTAAAAAATGTGTGCAAATAGCCCAGGGATGGGCAACTGGCGGGCCGAGTTCTTTAGGAACTCGGTCGGGGGTCTCAACTTCCTGTTGTGAGTTAGAATAATAGAATACATGAAATGTGGTTGATCATCAGCAGTCACTCAATTAACCCATGTCATCTAAATGTTTTTAGATTGTTAAGTTAGTCTAGCGGCCAGCTATCTAAATTTGTAGTAATCATGGTCGAATTACCGACCGGGGTCGAGCCCATTTGATCATCAGTTATAATATTAAAAACGGCAAACATTTGCCTCCCCACCCTGTGGCAAAATGTGCAGATTTGCAGGAAATTAACTTTTAAAACAGATTTTTTATTTTTTTTGCTGTCACATGGGGGGCCACTAAAATATTTTACTGGCAAGGTGGGAGGGGGTATGGATGTGGGTACATAGACACACAAGCCAATGCGGCCCGTCATGATGAGTTCTGTTTTTTTTTGTGGCCCCCAACCCCATCAAAGTTGCCCATTCCTGAAATGGCCTGTCGGACAGGAAATTCGCAAATTATATTTTACAAATATTACATTTTTTAAGTTGTTTTATTACTGTTTAGGCGACTTATTCTTCTAGGCTAAACGTTAAAAAAACAATATATATATTTAATTTTTTTATTTTATGATTCATAGCAGGGATGAAGACTCAAATAAAACCTGTCATGTTGGTATAAGAACATCGTTCTACTTTATTTTATTACAACTTTACAGGCGAATTTCTATTCTGTTAAGATTAATTTAAATAATCAAAATGTGATTTTGAGCACCACCGTGTTACACACCCAATGCATATGGATGTCCGGTTAATTTCTCAAATGTCCGGCAAATTAAAATATTTTCCGGTCACGTGGTCCGGTGCCACATTTTCTGAACGAAAACCCTGGTATTGACCTTTGTAATTTGGGCAATATTTTTTTTTCAAGATGTATATCGTTAATCGCTCATAAGTTTGAAAAAATTAAATACGATTTTTTAGACCATATCGCCCAACCCTATAGGAAGGTCGCTCTCCAGGAAACAGGGTTGGAGAGACCTGCTCTAGTATCTAGAAAAGCATCATTGTGCCCACGAGCCCTGTGGTGTATTCATTATGCTGATTCTGTTGCGAAACATCTCCTTAAACGGAAGCAAACAAAACCGGGTGGGACCTACCTGAATTTATCCAATAGAAACGCTCTGTTTTGGACCAACGCTTCCATGCCTGACGTAGAGCGCTGTGGCGCCCCTACCAGGCCAGCAGAGGGCGTGGTGGTTCTCTGCCTCTCTAAAGGCCTGGTGTGCTGTGTGTTTGCTGCAGATGATTTGATCCGGGTGCACAAGTTCAAGCCCTCCATGAAATGGCGTCAGTCGTTTGAGAACTACCTGAAGACCATGCCTCCCTACTACATTGGGGTAAGTCAACTATACATGGGGCTGGCCACTGTTTTATCTGGAGAGTTAGGGGACATTGAGGTTTCTGCGTGATGATGCGTTTTACATGACACAGTAATAATCAAATCATTCGATATGGTAGCCATGGGCAATATTGACCCATAACAGTTCATGGAATTTTCAAAATTTTAAACAGTGCTATGTAACTGAACGTCAAGAAAATAAAATCCCAAATAGTTAAATAAAGTCATGAATGGATAAATGGATTGCTCAAAGGCGCTGACGTGACGTCCGTTCTAAAAGTTATCCCATCTCTCTAAATATATGGCTCTGATATCCACCGTTAGGTGTTAACATGGCTGCCATGGAGATTGGTGACATTTTGGTTGCAATGTGTGGTCTTGACGATGCCCCTTCCTCTCCTGCAGTCCCTCCGGAAGGCGCTAAGGATCATGGGAGCTCCCAACCTCCTGGCCGATAACATAGAGTATGGTCTGAGTTACAGTGTAGTGTCCTACCTTAAGAAGCTCAGCCAGCAGGTAGGTACACTCTGTGTTTATGGTTGGTGTGTTTATGGTTGGTGTGTTTGGTTGGTGTGTTTATGGTTAGTGTGTTTATGGTTGGTGTGTGTGTGTGCTTATGGTTGGTTGGTGTGTGTGTTTATGGTTGGTGTGTGTGTGTGTGTGTTTTATGGTTGGTGTGCATGGTGTGTGATTGGTGGTGGTTGTGTGTGTGTGTGTGTGTGTTGTTTATGGTTGGTTGGTGTGTGTGTGTTGTGTTTATGGTTTGGTTGGTCTTGTGTGTGTGTTTAGGTTGGTTGGTTGTGTGTGTTGTGTGGTTGTGTGTGTGTGTGTGTGTGTGTGGTGTTTTATGTTGGTGTGTGTGTGTGTGTGTGTGTGTTTATGGTTGGTGTGTGTGTGTGTGTTCATGGTTGGTGTGTGTGTGTGTTTATGGTTGGTGTGTGTGTGTGTTTATGGTTGGTGTGTGTGTGTGTTTATGGTTGGTGTGGGTGTGTGTTTATGGTTGGTGTGTGTGTGTGTGTGTGTTTATGGTTGGTGTGTGTGTGTGTTTATGGTTGGTGTGTGTGTGAGTGCATACTGTCTTGGGTCCCATTCAGTTCCAGAACTATCCATGCCTTCAGAAAGTGTTCATACCTTTTGACTTATTCCAAATAATGTTGTTACAGTCTGAATTCAAAATGGATTACAGAAATGTTTTTGCTCACTCATCTACACAGTACCCCATAATAACGAAGTGAAAACATGTTTTTAGACATTTTTGCAAATGTATTGAAAATGAAATACCGATATACGAAGTATCTCATTTACATAAGTATTCACACCCGTGAGTCAATACATCTTAGAATCACTTTTGGCAGCGATTACAGCTGTGAGTCTTTCTGGATAAGTCTCTAAGAGCTTTCCACACCTGGATTGTGCAACATTTGCCCATTTATTCTTTAAAAAAATCTTCAAGCTCTGTCAAATTGCTTGCTGGTCATTGATAGATAAATATTTTCAAGCAGATTTCAGTCAAAACTGTAACTCTGCCACTCAGGAACAATTACTGTCTTTTTGGTAAAAAAATAACATTTTTTAGGTTATTGTCCTGCTGAAAGATTAATTCATCTCCCAGTGTCTGGTGGAAAGCAGACTGAACCAGGGTTTCCTCTAGTCTCCCAGTGTCTGGTGGACAGCAGACTGAACCAGGGTTTCCTCTAGTCTCCCAGTGTCTGGTGGACAGCAGACTGAACCAGGGTTTCCTCTAGTCTCCCAGTGTCTGGTGGACAGCAGATGGAACCAGGTTTTCCTCTAGTCTCCCAGTGTCTGGTGGACAGCAGACTGAACCAGGGTTTCCTCTAGTCTCCCAGTGTCTGGTGGAAAGCAGACTGAACCAGGGTTTCCTCTAGTCTCCCAGTGTCTGGTGGAAACCAGACTGAACCAGGTTTTCCTCTAGTCTCCCAGTGTCTGGTGGACAGCAGACTGAACCAGGGTTTCCTCTAGTCTCCCAGTGTCTGGTGGACAGCAGACTGAACCAGGTTTTCCTCTAGTCTCCCAGTGTCTGGTGGACAGCAGACTGAACCAGGGTTTCCTCTAGTCTCCCAGTGTCTGGTGGACAGCAGACTGAACCAGGGTTTCCTCTAGTCTCCCAGTGTCTGGTGGACAGCAGACTGAACCAGGGTTTCCTCTAGTCTCCCAGTGTCTGGTGGACAGCAGACTGAACCAGGTTTTCCTCTAGTCTCCCAGTGTCTGGTGGAGACTGAACCAGGGTTTCCTCTAGTCTCCCAGTGTCTGGTGGACAGCAGACTGAACCAGGGTTTCCTCTAGTCTCCCAGTGTCTGGTGGACAGCAGACTGAACCAGGGTTTCCTCTAGTCTCCCAGTGTCTGGTGGCCAGCAGACTGGACCAGGTTTTCCTCTAGTCTCCCAGTGTCTGGTGGACAGCAGACTGAACCAGGTTTTCCTCTAGTCTCCCAGTGTCTGGTGGACAGCAGACTGAACCAGGTTTTCCTCTAGTCTCCCAGTGTCTGGTGGAAAGCAGACTGGACCAGGGTTTCCTCTAGTCTCCCAGTGTCTGGTGGAAACCAGACTGAACCAGGTTTTCCTCTAGTCTCCCAGTGTCTGGTGGACAGCAGACTGAACCAGGGTTTCCTCTAGTCTCCCAGTGTCTGGTGGACAGCAGACTGGACCAGGGTTTCCTCTAGTCTCCCAGTGTCTGGTGGAAAGCAGACTGAACCAGGGTTTCCTCTAGTCTCCCAGTGTCTGGTGGAAAGCAGACTGGACCAGGGTTTCCTCTAGTCTCCCAGTGTCTGGTGGAAAGCAGACTGAACCAGGGTTTCCTCTAGTCTCCCAGTGTCTGGTGGACAGCAGACTGAACCAGGTTTTCCTCTAGTCTCCCAGTGTCTGGTGGACAGCAGACTGAACCAGGGTTTCCTCTAGTCTCCCAGTATCTGGTGGAAACCAGACTGAACCAGGTTTTCCTCTAGGATTTTGCTTGTGCTAAGCTCCATTCTTTTTTTTTCTTTTTTTATAAACTCCCCAGTCCTTAACGATGACAAGCATACCCATATTATGGGGTGTTGTGTGGAGGCCAGTGACAATACATTCTGTCTGTAACACAACAAAATGTGGAAAAATTCAAGGGGTGTGAATACTTTCTGAAGGCACTGTATTCTCACTTGGTTTCCATTCACTCCTCCTCCACGTATTTTCTCCTCAGACCAAGATCGAATACGAGCGGCTGGTAGCGTCTGTTGCTAAGAAGGTGGTAGCGGAGGGTGGCATCACGGTGCGTGCCCGCGGTGGGAACATCTCCCTGGCCCAGCGCAGAGACTTCACCCAGCTTCTGGCCAGCATCACAGGAGAGACGCCCGCCCTTCCCCTCGACCTCAACCCTAAAGAGTTCTCTGGCTTTCAGCTGGCGCCGCTCAACAAGGTCAGCAGCACTTGACGACGAACAGCCCTTGCCTGTAATGCTTGAGGATGAAGACGTCATGTTATCTCTGGAGATGTTCACATAGAGATACTGTATGTTGTTTAGAACAGCCATGATTCCCTGTCATGTAGTATTAAGTGTATCAGCTCTACACATGACTAATCTATATCTCCTATTTCTGCGTATTGAATGTACTGTATATGTGTAATAATGTTGGGTGGGATACCAGTACCACAGCAACAACAAGTTACGATACCGTCATTTTAGAAAACCATAGTACCGTCTCATATGATACCACCACATCTCTCTTTCTCTCTGTGTAGAGTCTGAAACCTCAGGGTTTCCGGAATGCCTATGACATTCCCAGAATGCACCTGCTGGATCAGCTGAGCCGCATGAGGAGGAACCTGCTCGGCACCAGCTGTCTGCTCCGCGGACACGACCCAGGTGGGTGTGGGTGGGTCAGGTGGTTGTGGTTGTGTGTGTGTGTGTGTGTGTGTACAGAAATGCAATTCAGTTCTTAAATGAACTGGAATTAGTCTCGCTACCAGTTTTGTTAAGGAAGAGACTAAGACTGAATTTGAGCCCAACCCTGACCTGTCTACTCTGCCTTCATATGTCCTCCTGTTTGTCCAGACCAGCTCCACAGTGTCCCCATCGCCCAGATGGGGAACTACCAGGACTTCCTCAAGGCCCTTCCCCAACCCCTCAGAGACGCAGACCCTGAGCAACCCAAACGCCTGCACACCTTCGGAAACCCCTTCAAACTGGACAAGAAGGTAGGACCTGCCTGTCTACAGCTTTCACTCTCCCCGTGTACCTCTCACTACCATTATCCTCCACTTAGGCATTATAAAGGGTCTGAAATCAGCCGGTCAGACCTTCACAATTTCCTTTTGTTTCCAGAAACGTCCATCTAGGGACGGTGTTGAACATTAGAAAGCTAAAAAGCCTTTGTGATTGGTCCAAATAAACAAATTCCTTTTTTTTAACGTCTCTGATTGGTTGTAGTCAGTCATGTCATATTTGTTCATCCTGTTTCTCTAGGGGATGATGATTGACGAGGCGGATGAGTTTGTGACGGGTCCCCAGAACAAGGGCAAGCGCCCGGGGGGTGACTCCAACTTGCACGGGGTCGGGGGTGGGGGCCCTAAGAGACGGAGGTGCATGTCCCCCCTACTGCGCCCCGGCAGGTCCTATACACCCCCCGTCAGCCCTGCAGCCAGCCCCTCCAGAACCCCCCTCACTGGTGAGACACTCACACACACACACACACACACACACACACACACACACACACACACACACACACACACACAAGCTATTGTTGTCAGTGGTCCTCTGTGTTAAAACACTAATCTGTGAAGCGCTGAGCCTGTAGAAGAAAGCGACAGAAGTTGACATGTTAAACTGAATGAATGACTGTCCCTGCTGCCCCCCCCCCCCTCACAGAGAGGGAGAACAGTGGGAACCTCTACAGCCCAGAGGTGAGAGAGACCGGGACAGGACCGAGACCAGGAGAGATCCTCTCTGGACCCCCTCTAGGCGGCCCCGGACCAGGGAACCACACGGGGAACCTCTACAGCCCAGAGGTGAGAGAGACCGGGACAGCAGCCCAGCCGAGACAGGGAGAGATCCTCTCTGGACCCCCTCTAGACGGCCCCGGACCAGGGAACCACATGGAGGATGATGGTGATGGGGACACGGAGGAGGAGAGCAGGCATCCCAGAGATTCGGAGCTCTCGGAGGGCAGTGAGGACGAAGGAGAGACGAGGGGTGTGGAGGAGGAGCGTCTGCCCCGGTACCCCTCCCCCGGGGAGCTGAAGAAGGTGATGAACAGCGAGATTCTGGAGGTCAACACTGTGCTACGGACCCTCATCACCAAGGAGATACGGAAACCAGGGAGACGTATGTAACCAGGGGCCACGCCCACACAACACACTACCATGGCAACCAGAGAAAGTCTCCTCACTTTTTTTGACGACGTTAAATTGTTAACTTGTGGTGGAAATGATGATACTGGTCTAGATCCAGATGTTAATAGAGACTGGCTGTGTTATCTGTGGCCTGTACACCGGCTTGCCAAAGTATTCACCCCCGTTGGCATTTTTCCTATTTTGTTGCATTACAACCTGGAATTAAAATGGATTTTTGGGGGGTTTGTATCATTTGATTTACACAACATGCCTACCACTTTGAAGATGCAAAATATTTTATATTGTGAAACAAACAAGAAATAAGACAAAAAAACAGAAAACTTGAGCGTGCATAACTATTCACCCCCCCCCCCCCACCCAAAGTCAATACTTTGTAGAGCCACCTTTTGCAGCAATTACAGCTGCAAGTCTCTTGGGGTATGTCTCTATAAGCTTGGCACATCTAGCCACTGGGATTTTTGCCCATTCTTCAAGGCAAAACTGCTCCAGCTCCTTCAAGTTGGATGGGTTCCGCTGGTGTACAGCAATCTTTAAGTCATACCACAGATTCTCAATTGGATTGAGGTCTGGGCTTTGACAAGGCCATTCCAAGACATTTAAATGTTTTCCCTTAAACCACTCGAGTGTTGCTTTAGCAGTATGCTTAGGGTCATTGTCCTGCTGGAAGGTGAACCTCTGTCCCAGTCTCTAATCTCTGTACGACTGAAACAGGTTTCCCTCAAGAATTTCCCTGTATTTAGCGCCATCCATCATTCCTTCAATTCTGACCAGTTTCCCAGTCCCTGCCGATGAAAAACATCCCCACAGCATGATGCTGCCACCACCATGGATGGTGTTCTCGGGGTGATGATAGGTGTTGGGTTTGCGCCAGACATAGTGTTTTCCTTGATGGCCAAAAAGCTCAATTTTAGTGTCATCTGACCAGAGTACCATCTTCCATATGTTTGGGGAGTCTCCCACACATGCCTTTTGGCGAACACCAAACATGTTTGCTTATTTTTTTCTTTAAGCAATGGCTTTTTTTCTGGCCACTCTTCCGTAAAGCCCAACTCTGTGGAGTGTACTGCTTAAAGTGGTCCTATGGACAGATACTCCAATCTCCGCTGTGGAGCTTTGCAGCTCCTTCAGGGTTATCTTTGGTCTCTTTGTTGCCTCTCTGATTAATGCCCTCCTTGCCTGGTCCGTGAGTTTTGATGGGCGGCCCTCTCTTGGCAGGTTTGTTGTGGTGCCGTATTCTTTCAATTTTTTAATAATGGATTTAATGGTGCTCCGTGGGATGTTCAAAGTTTCTGATATTTTTTTATAACCCAACCCTGATCTGTACTTCTCCACAACTTTGTCCCTGACCTGTTTGGAGAGCTCCTTGGTCTTCATGGTGCCGCTTGCTTGGTGGTGCCGCTTGCTTAGTGGTGTTGCAGACTCTGGGGCCTTTCAGAACAGGTGTATATATACTGTGATCATGTGACACTTAGATTGCACACAGGTGGACTTTATTTAACTAATTATGTGACTTCTGAAGGTAATTGGTTGCACCAGATCTTATTTAGGGGCTTCATAGCAAAGGGGGTGAATACATATGCACCACCACTTTTCCGTTATTTATTCATTTTTTTCATTTCACTTCACCAATTTGGACTATTTTGTGTATGTCCTTTACATGAAATCCAAATAAAAATCAATTTAAATTACAGGTTGTAATGCAACAAAATAGGAAAAACGCCAATGGGGATGAATACTTTTGCAAGGCACTGTATGTCTAGAGGACTGTGTGATGGTAGTCATTAATATGTGGCCTGTATGTCTAGAGGACTGTGTGATGGTAGTCATTAATCTGTGGCCTGTATGTCTAGAGGACTGTGTGATGGTAGTCATTAATATGTGGCCTGTATGTCTAGAGGACTGTGTGATGGTAGTCATTAATCTGTGGCCTGTTTGTCTAGAGGACTGTGTGATGGTAGTCATTAATCTGTGGCCTGTATGTCTAGAGGACTGTTTGATGGTAGTCATTAATCTGTGGCCTGTATGTCTAGAGGACTGTGTGATGGTAGTCATTAATCTGTGGCCTGTATGTCTAGATGACTGTGTGATGGTAGTCATTAATCTGTGGCCTGTATGTCTAGAGGACTGTTTGATGGTAGTCATTAATCTGTGGCCTGTATGTCTAGAGGACTGTTTGATGGTAGTCATTAATCTGTGGCCTGTATGTCTAGAGGACTGTGTGATGGTAGTCATTAATCTGTGGCGTGTATGTCTAGAGGACTGTGTGATGGTAGTCATTAATCTGTGGTCTGTATGTCTAGAGGACTGTGTGATGGTAGTCATTAATCTGTGGTCTGTATGTCTAGAGGACTGTGTGATGGTAGTCATTAATCTGTGGTCTGTATGTCTAGAGGACTGTGTGATGGTAGTCATTAATCTGTGGTCTGTATGTCTAGAGGACTGTGTGATGGTAGTCATTAATCTGTGGTCTGTATGTCTAGAGGACTGTGTGATGGTAGTCATTAATCTGTGGTCTGTATGTCTAGAGGACTGTGTGATGGTAGTCATTAATCTGTGGTCTGTATGTCTAGAGGACTGTGTGATGGTAGTCATTAATCTGTGGTCTGTATGTCTAGAGGACTGTGTGATGGTAGTCATTAATCTGTGGTCTGTATGTCTAGAGGACTGTGTGATGGTTGTCATTCAGTCCACTGACTCTCTCTCCAACCATTACTCCTTAGACCTAGTTTCATAGCCTGCCATGGTTTGATCTCTCGTCTGAAATCCCAGAATGGAAAGTGTTCTAGTTTAATCGGCAGCTCTCACTCTGCTTGACTCTTCCCTTCTCTCTTGTGTTTTTATAGACTATGAAAAAATCTTCCTTTTCCTGAAGCAGATCCAAGGAAGCTTTGACACACGGTTGATATTCCTCCGGAACATTATAAAAGAGGCCACAAGGTGAGGAACACGACCTCCACCAGTACAAGCTTCTAAACAGACTCCAAGTCAAACTAGTATTACTGTAGTTTTACCATGTTGGGACATGATCATGATGGTCATGATGGTCCTCTGTAGCTCAGCTGGTAGAGCACGGCGCTTGTAACGCCAAGGTAGTGGGTTCGATCCCCGGGGACCACCCATACACAAAAAATGTATGCACGCATGACTGTAAGTCGCTTTGGATAAAAGCGTCTGCTAAATGCCTTATTATTATTATTATTATTATTATTATTATTATTATTATTATTATTATTATCAGCTTGGAACTCTTCTTTGTATTACTGTCTGGCTGCTTGTTTTCAGTTTTGAATACTCAACTAACTTTAATTTATACTTTTATCACTTTAGACGCATTTCCTGGAGTATCCTGAACTCCACTAGAGTATTACAACTAGAACCCCTCTGTAGGCTCTGTTAGGTTTCTCTGTTTAGTTTCTCTGTTAAGTTTCTCTGTTAGGTTTCTCTGTTTAGTTTCTTTATTGATGTTCAACTAGACTCTCTATCCTGTGTATGTCTTCTATTTCTGTATCAAGAACATCGAGGTAACCTGCCTAAATGACTACCGCCCCGTAGCACTCACATCTGTAGCCATGAAGTGCTTTGAAAGGCTGGTCATGGCTCACATCAACACCATCATCCCGGAAAACCCTAGACCCACTCCAATTCGAATACAGTCCCAAACAGATCCACAGATGACGCAATCTCAATCGCACTCCACAATGTCCTTTCCCACCTGGACAAAAGGAACACCTATGTGAGAATGCTGTTCATTGACTACAGTTCAGCGTTCAACACCATAGTGCCCACAAAGCTCATCACTAAGCTAAGGACCCTGGGACTAAACACCTACAGTGAGGGGAAAAAAGTATTTGATCCCCTGCTGATTTTGTACGTTTGCCCACTGACAAAGACATGATCAGTCTATAATTTTAATGGTAGGTTTATTTGAACAGTGAGAGACAGAATAACAACAAAAAAATCCAGAAAAACTCAATTTTTATTAATTGATTTGCATTTTAATGAGGGAAATAAGTATTTGACCCCTCTGCAAAACATGACTTAGTACTTGGTGGCAAAACCCTTGTTGGCAATCACAGAGGTCAGACGTTTCTTGTAGTTGGCCACCAGGTTTGCACATATCTCAGGAGGGATTTTGTCCCACTCCTCTTTGCAGATCTTCTCCAAGTCATTAAGGTTTCGAGGCTGACGTTTGGCAACTCGAACCTTCAGCTCCCTCCACAGATGTTCTATGGGATTAAGGTCTGGAGACTGGCTAGGCCACTCCAGGACCTTAATGTGCTTCTTCTTGAGCCACTCCTTTGTTGCCTTGGCCGTGTGTTTTGAGTCATTGTCATGCTAGAATACCCATCCACAACCCATTTTCAATGCCCTGGCTGAGGGAAGGAGGTTCTCACCCAAGATTTGACGGTACATGTCCCCGTCCATCGTCCCTTTGATGCGGTGAAGTTGTCCTGACCCCTTAGCAGAAAAACACCCCCAAAGCATAATGTCTCCACCTCCATGTTTGACGGTGGGGATGGTGTTCTTGGGGTCATAGGCAGCATTCCTCCTCCTCCAAACACGGCGAGTTGAGTTGATGCCAAAGAGCTCCATTTTGGTCTCATCTGACCACAACACTTTCACCCAGTTCTCCTCTGAATCATTCAGATGTTCATTGGCAAACTTCAGACGGGCATGTATATGTGCTTTCTTGAGCAGGGGGACCTTGCGGGCGCTGCAGGATTTCAGTCCTTCACGGCGTAGTGTGTTACCAATTGTTTTCTTGGTGACTATGGTCCCAGCTGCCTTGAGATCATTGACAAGATCCTCCCGTGTAGTTCTGGGCTGATTCCTCACCGTTCTCATGATCATTGCAACTCCACAAGGTGAGATCTTGCATGGAGCCCCAGGCCGAGGGAGATTGACAGTTCTTTTGTGTTTCTTCCATTTGCGAATAATCGCACCAACTGTTGTCACCTTCTCACCAAGCTGCTTGGCGATGGTCTTGTAGCCCATTCCAGCCTTGTGTAGGTCTACAATCTTGTCCCTGACATCCTTGGAGAGCTCTTTGGTCTTGGCCATGGTGGGAGTTTGTAATCTGATTGATTGATTGCTTCTGTGGACAGGTGTCTTTTATACAGGTAACAAACTGAGATTAGGAGCACTCCCTTTAAGAGTGTGCTCCTAATCTCAGCTCGTTACCTGTATAAAAGACACCTGGGAGCCAGAAATCTTTCTGATTGAGAGGGGTCAAATACTTATTTCCCTCATTAAAATGCAAATACATTTATAACATTTTTGACATGCATTTTTCTGGATTTTTGTTGTTATTCTGTCTCTCACTGGCCTACAACTCTCACTGTCGAGAGTTTCAAGTTCCTTGGTGTCCACTTCACCAACAAACTATTATGGTCCAAACACACCAAGACAGTCGTGAAGAGGGCACGACAACACCTTATCCCCTTCAGGAGACTGAAAAGATTTGGCATGGGTACCCAGATCCTCAAAAAGTTCTACAGCTGCCCCATCGAGAGCATGTTCTGTTCTGTTCTATTTCTATATCAGTGACAGTGTTCTGTTCTGTTCTATTTCTATATCCGTGACCGTGTTCTGTTCTGTTCTACGCAGGTTCAAGAAGCGGGTGTTGATAGAACAGCTGGAGAACTTTCTAGAAGAGATCCACAACAGGGCCAAAAATATGAACCACCAGGACGGGTTCTAACGGACATCTGTGCCCTTCTAACCCCTCACCCCTTTTGACCCTCACCATTCACCCCCTCAACCTTGACCCCTTCACTCACCCTTCACCCCTCACCCCTCAGCCTGCACTTTTCACCCAGGCAGAAAGAGTCCAACAGAGAGAGAGAGAAGAGGGATATAATGTGTACTAACTAACCCGAGGAATGAGAAGACAGTGCTGTTGGCCTGTCTGCCTCTGTGTCAGTGTGATGTCTTGTCTCATCAGTGATGGTGTGGTGAACTGATATCGCTAAGGGGAGTGGGTCCCATTGTACAAAGTTTCCAACAACTTCAGGGCCGAAGGAGGAATGGATGTTTTTGGTCTCATTTGAATCTTTTAAATGTCTTCTTTCCTTTCTCTCTCTTTCTATTCATCTATTCATCCCTCTCTCTCTCTCTCTCTCTCTCTCAATTCTCTCGCTCGCTCTCTCTCTCTCGCTCTCTCTCGCCCTCTCTCTCTTTCTGTTATCTCTCGCTCTCTCTCTCTCTTTCTGTTATCTCTCGCTCTCTCTCTCTCTTTCTGTTATCTCTCGCTCTCTCTCTCTCTTTCTGTTATCTCTCTCTCTTTCTCTCTCTCTCTCTCTCTCTCTCTCTCTCTCTCTGAGGTATTTTTGCTATGTGGGGACGTCCCTGTTTGGTCATGCACTTCTCAATGCCCTGAGAATCCTGATTGGCACTCCACTCCACCAATAGACCCACTCCTTTACTGTATTCACCAATAGAAAGGGTTGGCCACCTTCTTTCCCTCTTGACTTCCTGGACAGTAGCATCTATACTGTACTGCACCTTTACAACCAAACTGAACTCGGAGGCAAGTTTTTGCGCTTGTCTTTCACAGTTTAGATGTCAGTCTGAAAAACTGTTTTAGATGTATATTCTACCTGAGGAACGTTACAAGGAGTAGATAAGTGTGTTGATTTATCTTAGGAGTACTGGATTTTTAGATAAAAACCAAACTCCAATAATAATAGTTTACCCTCTGAATGCTCTTACAAAATGCAACGGACAAGAAACCTCAATATGCTAGGCCAGTGGTTCCCAACCAGGGGAACCAGGACCCCTGGGGGTACTTAGACTATCCACAGTGGGGTTCTTGAGAAGACTGAGACCGAAGGCCTGCTGGTAAAATGCACATGATGGGGTACTTCAGGGTTACTCCTGGTTAGAGCCAAATTCAGTCGGTGTTATAGTAGTAACCGAAAAAAGGTTGGGAACCACTGTGCTAGGTAGTAGACACACCTCAGGAGGTGGACAATAGCGTAATGGTTAGCAATATCATCAGTCCCACTAGTAATACCTACTGCGATCCTTAATTAAACCTCTCTGTCATGTCTAAAGTGTCGTTGGACGTTTTAAGGTAGACTTCAGGCCCTGGGTGTCAGGCTGGCTGTCGTGTGTGTGCAGGTTACCGCAAAGCATTTGATATTCTCCCTTCTCCCACTTTTCCAATACGCCCTCCCTTTATAGGGAGGTAAGTCTATAATAAATATTATTAATAATAATTATATTATAAGTCTTCGCCGAACTTGTTTTTGTAAAGAGGACGCTACCAAAATAGTATTTTGAATACGCTGTATAGATGTAAATAACTAGAGAATTATTTAAAGAGAATTCCCAGAGGAGGAAGGCCTTTTTGTATTCCCATGAATAAAGTTTATATTTTGAATGGCCATGTAAATAAAAGTGTCAGTTGTTCAGTAAGTGTCATTATTACGTTTGTATTTCACTTTCTTTCAAGGAAATGTGAGGCTTTGCATGGTGTTGAGGAGGTTGCCCTTTGGAGATGTGACATGGTGTTGAGGAGGTTGCCCATTGGAGATGTGACGTGGTGTTGAGGAGGTTGCCCTTTGGAGATGTGACGTGGTGTTGAGGAGGTTGTTTGGAGATGTGACGTGGTGTTGAGGAGGTTGTTTGGAGATGTGACGTGGTGTTGAGGAGGTTGCCCTTTGGAGATGTGACGTGGTGTTGAGGAGGTTGCCCTTTGGAGATGTGACATGGTGTTGAGGAGGTTGCCCATTGGAGATGTGACGTGGTGTTGAGGTTGCCCTTTGGAGATGTGACGTGGTGTTGAGGTTGCCCTTTGGAGATGTGACGTGGTGTTGAGGAGGTTGCCCTTTGGAGATGTGACATGGTGTTGAGGAGGTTGCCCATTGGAGATGTGACGTGGTGTTGAGGTTGCCCTTTGGAGATGTGACGTGGTGTTGAGGTTGCCCTTTGGAGATGTGACACGGTGTTGAGGAGGTTGCCCTTTGGAGATGTGACATGGTGTTGAGGAGGTTGCCCATTGGAGATGTGACGTGGTGTTGAGGTTGCCCTTTGGAGATGTGACGTGGTGTTGAGGTTGCCCTTTGGAGATGTGACGTGGTGTTGAGGTTGCCCTTTGGAGATGTGACACGGTGTTGAGGAGGTTGCCCTTTGGAGATGTGACATGGTGATACAAAATCTATCCAGAAGGTGAGTATTTTATTTTATTATTCACTTGAGTGAATAATTTGGTGGATGTGAGAGTTTCTGAATCCTCTCTGAGACCATGCATCAACCAGGAAGTGGCACAGTGCATCAACCAGGAAGTGGCACAGTGCATCAACCAGGAAGTGGCACAGTGCATCAACCAGGAAGTGGCACGGTGCATCAACCAGGAAGTGGCACAGTGCATCAACCAGGAAGTGGCACAGTGCATCAACCAGGAAGTGGCACAGTGCATCAACCAGGAAGTGGCACAGTGCATCAACCAGGAAGTGGCACAGTGCATCAACCAGGAAGTGGTAGGCCTATGATACAGCTGCAGAAATAAAGGACCAAAACACTTTGGGTGCAAAACACAATGTATTAACATTTTATTTACAATCATGTACAAAAATATTGTCCCTCTTCCTGAAGTGTCTGGACCCTCCTGTTGGTCCCCAATAAATACGGGTAGTTTAGTTTTATTATGATCCCCAGTGGCTACTGCACATGCAGCAGCTACTCTTCCTGGGGTCCACATAAAACGTACAGAACAGTTATAGACAAGAACAACAGAAGATATAACATTAAAAAGTTGTATATAGGAAAGACACCAAGAGACAACAAAAATCCTATTTACACACTGTTCATATGTACATATTCATATTGTTATATACAGTACAGTTACATTAGATCTTTAGAATGGTAGTGTGTTGGGTAGAGGTTGAATATGAGATAGGGTATGGGGCGGTAAGGTGTGGTGGGGGGGGTATGGGGCGGTAAGGTGTGGTGGGGGGGGGAGTCCTAGGGTGGTGGGGGGGGGTATGGGGCGGTAAGGGAGTCCTAGGGTGGTGGGGGGGGTATGGGGCGGTAAGGTGTGGTGGTGGGGGTAAGGGAGGCCTAGGGTGGTGGGGGTAAGGGAGTCCTAGGGTGGTGGGGGTAAGTGAGTCCTAGGGGGGGGTAAGGGAGTCCTAGGGTGGTGGGGGTAAGGGAGTCCTAGGGTGGAGGTGGAGGGGGTAAGGGAGTCCTAGGGTGGTGGTGGTGGGATAAGGGAGTCCTAGGGTGCCTGTTCAGCTGGATTCACCACACGCCCCATGAATAGAACAGATCCTGGAGAGAGAGAGAGAGAGAGAGGGGGATGGTGAATAGAAGCCCAAACTAACAAGGTGATGCTGTAACGGCAATAAAACGCCAAAATAGTGCCATGACATCAGTGATGACTATTGAAGTGATCACGCATAATGTTAGTTATCTGTTAATGTTTGTATTGTAGGCCTACCTGTGCTGACTTGTCGCAAGAGGAAGAAGAAAGGTCGGTCTGCTTTGAAGACGGGAGCGCGGGAGCGTTTGAGTAGCACCATAGCTGTGGCCGCAGCGGCCTTGGTCCCATCCTCTGTTACCTCTATCCTGGCCTCATGAAAGGCATCGGACACGTACAGGCCCTCCTCCGCTGTGGAGAGAGAACAACACAATGCTGTAAGTACTGGACAGTCATCTGCTACTGAGGATGACTTGGATCTCTAGCCTGGGTGCAGAGTACTGAGGATGACTTGGATCTCTAGCCTGGGTGCAGAGTACTGAGGATGACTTGGATCTCTAGCCTGGGTGCAGAGTACTGAGGATGACTTGGATCTCTAGCCTGGGTGCCAGTCTGTTGCTGCCCTCGAGCCAACACCTTATGAAATTGTCATGCATGACAATGGAGTAGGCAAAACCACAAACTGATCTAGGATCAGCCTAATGGATCTCATATAAAACCAGAATAAGGCAGTTGAGTGAGTGTACTGCACCTGAGATGCCAGTGAAGTCTGCTGCCATTGGGTTGAAGGCGTCACTGACCCCCATTGACGGCAGAACCGACCTCAGGTTGAACCTGTTCTGCATTTTAAACCTGTAAGTAAAAGCCAGTCCATTACGCTACCATTCACCTGTTTGGCCAGTGGATCAGACACCATGGAGGTTAGGACACTTTGGGCTAAGATATATATATATATATATATATATATATATATATATATATATATATATATATATCAACGCGACTACCCTGGTATAGCAAAAGTTCAAATAAATACATATTGAGATCAATGTGTACCTGGGGAGGAAAACATCCATCTTGGTTCTGCGGAGGCCAGTGTCCCAGGTGGCCACAGCGCGGGGGGTTATCTGGGATTCCAGCGAGGACAGAGGTGTCTTCCTGTCACTGGGCAGAGCCACCAGCAGGCTGAGAAAGCGGCCCAGGTACGGCAGCTCCAAGACCGTGTAGCGCTGGTCTGACAGGGTGCGGAACTGACCTGCACATAGAGGGGAAACCAACGGAGGGACAGTTTAAATAAGACCACAGGATATAATCAATCAAGCACATTTATTTTATATAGCCCTTTTTTACATCAGCAGTTGTCACAGTGCTTTACAGATACCCAGCCTGAAACCCCAAAGATCAAGCAATGCAGATATAGAAGCACTAAACATTAATACTTTACAATGTCTTGTAATATGTCGAATTATCTTAATTACTATACTACGAATCAAAACTCAAACTGTTGTTTTGTGCTTGATGATTTGATTTGACTGTATGTAAGTGATTAATTGAAAAGTAAGTGATGAACCGATAAATAAGTAAGGAGAACTGATAAATAAGCAAGGGAAGAACCAATAAGTAAGCAAGGGACAAAAGGATAAGTAAGCAAGGGACGAAACGATAAGTAAGCAAGGGAAGAACCAATACGTTAGTGAGGGTTGAACTGATAAATAAGCAAGGGAAGAACCAATAAGTAAGCAAGGAACGAAACGATAAGTAAGCAAGGGACGAACCGATAAGTAAGGGATGAACCGATAAGTTAGTGAGGGCTGAACCGATAAGTTAGTGAGGCCTGAACCGATAAGTTAGTGAGGCTTGAACCGATAAGTTAGTGAGGGCTGAACCGATAAGTTAGTGAGGGCTGAACCGATAAGTTAGTGAGGGTTGAACCGATAAGTTAGTGAGGCTTGAACCGATAAGTTAGTGAGGGCTGAACCGATAAATTAGTGAGGGCTGAACCGATAAGTATGTAAGGGCTGAACGGATAAGTTAGTGAGGCTTGAATCGATAAGTATGTAAGGGCTGAACCGGTAAGTTAGTGAGGGCTGAACTGATAAGTTAGTGAGGCTTGAACCGATAAGTATGTAAGGGATGAACTGATAAGTTAGTGAGGCTTGAACCGATAAGTATGTAAGGGATGAACTGATAAGTTTGTGAGTGTTGAACCGATAAGTATGTAAGGGATGAACCGATAAGTTAGTGAGGGCTGAACCAATAAGTTAGTGAGGGCAGAACCGATAAGTTAGTGAGGGTTGAACCGATAAGTTAGTGAGGGTTGAACCGATAAGTTAGTGAGGGTGAACCGATAAGTTAGTGAGGGCTGAACCGATAAGTTAGTGAGGGTTGAACCGATAAGTTAGTGAGGGCTGAACCGATAAGTCAGAGGGCTGAACCGATAAGTTAGAGGGCTGAACCGATAAGTTAGAGGGCTGAACCGATAAGTTAGAGGGCTGAACCGATAAGTTAGAGGGCTGAACCGATAAGTTAGAGGGCTGAACCGATAAGTTAGAGGGCTGAACCGATAAGTTAGTGAGGGCTGAACCGATAAGTTAGGAGGGCTGAACGATAAGTTAGTGAGGCTGAACCGATAAGTTAGAGGGCTGAACCGATAAGTTAGAGGGCTGAACCGATAAGTTAGTGAGGGCTGAACCGATAAGTTAGAGGGCTGAACTGATAAGTTAGTGAGGGCTGAACCAATAAGTTAGTGAGGGCTGAACCGATAAGTTAGTGAGGGCTGAATGAACCGATAAGTTAGGGTGAACCGATAAGTAGTGGGGCTGAACCGAAAGTGGTTAACGAGTAGGCTGAACCGATAAGTTAGTGAGAGGGCTGAAACCCGATAAGTTAGAGGGCTGAACCGATAATTAGAGGGCTGAACCTGATAAGTTTTAGTGAGGGCTGAACCGATAAGTTATGAGGGCGAACGTAAGTTAGTGAGGGGACGATGAGCTGAACCGATAAGTTAGGAGGGCTAACCGATAGTTAGTGAGGCTGACCGATAAGTTAGCTGAGGGCTGAACCGATAAGTTAGTGAGGGCTGAACCGATAAAGTTAGTGAGGGCTGAACCGATAAGTTAGTGTAGAGGGCTGAACCGATAAGTTAGTGAGGCGAACCGATAAGTTAGTGAGGGCTGATGGCTGAACGATAGTAAGGGCTGAACGATATTAGTGAGGCTTGAAATAATTATGTAGCTGAACCGGTAAGATGAGGCTTATAATCGATAGTGAGGGCTTGAAACTGATAAGTTAGTGAGGCTTGAACCGATAAGTATGTAAGGGATGAACTGATAAGTTAGTGAGGCTTGAACCGATAAGTATGTAAGGGATGAACTGATAAGTTAGTGAGTGTTGAACCGATAAGTATGTAAGGGATGAACCGATAAGTTAGTGAGGGCTGAACCAATAAGTTAGTGAGGGCAGAACCGATAAGTTAGTGAGGGTTGAACCGATAAGTTAGTGAGGGTTGAACCGATAAGTTAGTGAGGGCTGAACCGATAAGTTAGTGAGGGCTGAACCGATAAGTTAGTGAGGGCTGAACCGATAAGTTAGAGGGCTGAACCGATAAGTTAGAGGGCTGAACCGATAAGTTAGAGGGCTGAACCGATAAGTTAGAGGGCTGAACCGATAAGTTAGAGGGCTGAACCGATAAGTTAGAGGGCTGAACCGATAAGTTAGAGGGCTGAACCGATAAGTTAGAGGGCTGAACCGATAAGTTAGTGAGGGCTGAACCGATAAGTTAGTGGGCTGAACCGATAAGTTAGAGGGCTGAACCGATAAGTTAGAGGGCTAAACCGATAAGTTAGAGGGCTAAACCGATAAGTTAGAGGGCTGAACCGATAAGTTAGAGGGCTGAACCGATAAGTTAGAGGGCTGAACCGATAAGTTAGTGAGGGCTGAACCGATAAGTTAGTGAGGGCTGAACCGATAAGTTAGTGAGGGCTGAACCGATAAGTTAGAGGGCTGAACCGATAAGTTAGAGGGCTGAACCGATAAGTTAGAGGGCTGAACCGATAAGTTAGAGAGGGTTGAACCGATAAGTTAGTGAGGGTTGAACCGATAAGTTAGTGAGGGTTGAACCGATAAGTTAGTGAGGGCTGAACCGATAAGTTAGTGAGGGCTGAACCGATAAGTTAGTGAGGGCTGAACCGATAAGTTAGTGAGGGCTGAACCGATAAGTTAGTGAGGGCTGAACCGATAAGTTAGAGGGCTGAACCGATAAGTTAGAGGGCTGAACCGATAAGTTAGTGAGGGTTGAACCGATAAGTTAGTGAGGGTTGAACCGATAAGTCAGTGAGGGCTGAACCGATAAGTTAGTGAGGGCTGAACCGATAAGTTAGTGAGGGTTGAACCGATAAGTTAGTGAGGGCTGAACCGATAAGTTAGCGAGGGCTGAACCGATAAGTTAGTGAGGGCTGAACCGATAAGTTAGTGAGGGTTGAACCGATAAGTTAGTGAGGGTTGAACCGATAAGTTAGTGAGGGCTGAACCGATAAGTTAGTGAGGGTTGAACCGATAAGTTAGTGAGGGCTGAACCGATAAGTTAGAGGGCTGAACCGATAAGTTAGAGGGCTGAACCGATAAGTTAGAGGGCTGAACCGATAAGTTAGAGGGCTGAACCGATAAGTTAGAGGGCTGAACCGATAAGTTAGTGAGGGCTGAACCGATAAGTTAGTGAGGGCTGAACCGATAAGTTAGTGAGGGCTGAACCGATAAGTTAGTGAGGGCTGAACCGATAAGTTAGTGAGGGCTGAACCGATAAGTTAGTGAGGGCTGAACCGATAAGTTAGAGGGCTGAACCGATAAGTTAGAGGGCTGAACCGATAAGTTAGAGGGCTGAACCGATAAGTTAGAGGGCTGAACCGATAAGTTAGAGGGCTGAACCGATAAGTTAGAGGGCTGAACCGATAAGTTAGTGAGGGTTGAACCGATAAGTTAGAGAGGGTTGAACCGATAAGTTAGTGAGGGCTGAACCGATAAGTTAGTGAGGGCTGAACCGATAAGTTAGTGAGGGCTGAACCGATAAGTTAGTGAGGGTTGAACCGATAAGTATGTAAGGGATGAACTTACAGCAAAAAAAGGACAGACAGAAAACTATTGCTCTTCTCTGTTCTCACTACGGACTGCGGTTGAAAAATGAACTTTTGTGCAAACATATTTCACCGTCTGAAATGTGCTTTTAATTGCACATGGTCCCTTTTAAAATATACTACTACTTACCAAAGTTGACCTCTGTGGCCTGGTACATCATGGGCACCTTGATGGTGCTGCCGTCCGACAGGGTGAAGGGAAGGTTCTGGGTGTCAGTGAAGAGGAACTGTTTCTGCCACACTCCCCGGAAGTTCACTGTGTTGACCAGGGCCATCTGCAGCCGCTTGCCCCACCACGAGGTCTCTCCCTGGGCCTCGCCAGACCCAAACCGCTCCCCGCTGCCACCGGGCTGGAGGGCCTCGCCAGACCCAAACCGCTCCCCGCTGCCACCGGACTGGAGCGGCTCACCGGTGCCATGGTTGCGTCCCCACTGTTCCAGCTGGCTGTGGGTGTGGTTGGGCTGACTGAAGTTGGCTCGGACCAGACTGCTGTTGCTCAGGGATGCTGCATGCTGGGTAAAAGCAGGAAGGATCTGGACGCCAGTCTGGATGAACAGGGCGCATGCCTGCTGGAGCCGCACCCCGTGACTGGAGTTACCCACGTCCCCCTGCGACCGCAACAGGAAGTCCTGCACTTGCATGTCTGGAGAGACAGGAAGTGGGATCAGTGGCTAGGCCAAATGGAAAGGTTCCCACTAGATGAGATTTTTGGTCTTTAATTTAAGGTTAGGGTTAGGCATAAGGTTAGCAGTGTGGTTAGGGTTAGGCATAAGGTTAGCAGTGTGGTTAGAGATAGGCATAAGGTTAGCAGTGTGGTTAGGGTTAGATTTAAAATCAGATTTTAAGAAGATAAATTGTAGAAATGGGTGGGGCTTCCAACTTTGCAACTTGGCCAGATAGTGAAAAACCAAATGGAAACTGTATGTATTCCAAAACATCATAAAACATCATGTGGAAACTATGTATTCCAAAACATGAGTGAAAAAGAGACCAGAGAGGTTGGCCAACCCATATAATCCAGCTCTGCGTTTAGGCCTATTTGAGTTACCAGGTCCATACCACATGGATAGCACCCTTGGTTTTCTTCACTCTGACACCATGCACCTGCACCTTTTCTCCATCAAGTATGCTTATAAATCAAGAAAATATGTTTATGTCCCTGTAAGTCCATCTCTACATGTCTTGAGTACCTTCTGAACTCTTGGCTAGTGTCTGCTTTCACCATGCAGTGTAACACAGTGGCCTTTCGACCCCAGAGTCTCAGTATTACCCTCTGAATAATCAGATTATAGAGCAGGGGCAGGCGTTAGGGCTCCAGACACCACTCTACCCTGCCCTGCCCTGCCTGGCCAGCCGGCCCACAGGACCCCGTACCAACCGGCCCACAGGACCCCGTACCAACCGGCCCACAGGACCCCGTACCAACCGGCCCACAGGACCCCGTACCAACCGGCCCACAGGACCCCGTACCAACCGGCCCACAGGACCCCCACAGGACCCCGTACCAGCCGGTCCACAGGACCCCGTACCAGCCGGCCCACAGGACTCCGTACCAGCCGGCCCACAGGACCCCGTACCAGCCGGCCCACAGGACTCCGTACCAGCCGGCCCACAGGACCCCGTACCAGCCGGCCCACAGGACCCCGTACCAGCCGGCCCACAGGACTCCGTACCAGCCGGCCCACAGGACCCGTACCAGCCGGCCCACAGGACCCCGTACCAGCCGGCCCACATGACCCCGTACCAACTGGCCCACAGGAGCCCGTACCAACCTGCCCACAGGACCCTTTACCAACCGGCCCACAGGACCCCGTACCAGCCGGCCCACCGGACTCCGTACCAGCCGGCCCACCGGACCCCGTACCAGCCGGCCCACAGGACTCCGTACCAGCCGGCCCACAGGACCCCGTACCAGCCGGACCACAGGACCCAGTACCAGCCGGCCCACAGGACCCAGTACCAGCCGGCCCACAGGACCCAGTACCAGCCGGCCCACAGGACCCCGTACCAGCCGGCCCACAGGACCCCGTACCAGTGGTGCAGCCCAGCATCAGTTTAAGGGAATGGTATGAACACACAGAAACACTTGAACAAACAGTAATGGAGAGCAAAATAAACCAACACTTAGTAGATGCTACTTACAGTGTTCAGTCTTTGTACCAGCACAGCATGTTATACCAGCACTCAACAGCTGTGGCCCCCACCCCCACTGACTGGGCCTGGAGAGTTATAGGGGTATGCAAATCAAATGCAGGCTTTTGTTCCACCCCAGCACTAAAATTGCTTTAGAATCGACTTCTCATCAAGACCTTGATTGGTTGAACAAGGTGTGTTGGTGATGGGCTTTGAACGCAAGCCTGCACACCCAGTAGCCTGACCACCCAGTAGCCTGACCACCCAGTAGCCTGACCACCCAGTAGCCTGACCACCCAGTAACCTGACCACCCAGCAGTCTGACCACCCAGTAACCTGACCACCCAGTAGTCTGACCACCCAGTAACCTGACCACCCAGTAACCTGACCACCCAGTAACCTGACCACCCAGTAACCTGACCACCCAGTAACCTGACCACCCAGCAACCTGACCACCCAGTAACCTGACCACCCAGTAACCTGACCACCCAGTAACCTGACCACCCAGCAACCTGACCACCCAGCAACCTGACCACCCAGTAACCTGACCACCCAGTTGACCACCAAGTCGTGTCTGACCACCCAGTAGTCTGACCACCCAGTACTGACACCCAGTAGTCTGACCACCCAGTAACCTGACCACCCAGTAGTCTGACCACCCAGTAGTCTGACCACCCAGTAGTCTGACCACCCAGTAGTCTGACCACCCAGTAACCTGACCACCCAGTAGTCTGACCACCCAGTAACCTGACCACCCAGTAGTCTGACCACCCAGTAGCCTGACCACCCAGTAGCCTGACCACCCAGTAACCTGACCACCCAGCAGTCTGACCACCCAGTAGCCTGACCACCCAGTAACCTGACCACCCAGTAACCTGACCACCCAGCAACCTGACCACCCAGTAGCCTGACCACCCAGTAGCCTGACCACCCAGTAACCTGACCACCCAGCAACCTGACCACCCAGTAACCTGACCACCCAGCAACCTGACCACCCAGCAACCTGACCACCCAGTAACCTGACCACCCAGCAACCTGACAACCCAGTAACCTGACCACCCAGTTAGTTCAACCTGACCACCCAGTAGTCTGACCACCCAGTAACCTGACCACCCAGTAGTCTGACCACCCAGTAACCTGACCACCCAGCAGTCTGACCACCCAGCAACCTGACCACCCAGTAGTCTGACCACCCAGTAGTCTGACCACCCAGTAACCTGACCACCCAGTAGTCTGACCACCCAGTAGTCTGACCACCCAGTAGTCTGACCACCCAGTAACCTGACCACCCAGTAACCTGACCACCCAGTAACCTGACCACCCAGTAACCTGACCACCCAGCAACCTGCTGCACTCCTCTGGATGCCTTTTGAACTCTTAGCCCTGCTTGGTGGTGGGTTCTTAAATATATAAATATATATATATATATATATATATATATCTTTGGGGTCTGGGGCAGTCTCACTCCTTTATAAGATTTTTTTTGTGTGAAAATATAGTACATTGTGAAAGATGGGGAACATAGGCGAGGGTGAGTGAAAGGACAGTGTGCCGGATTCGAACCCATGCCGACCCTGGTATACATGTGTTCCGGCCGGGGTCATAGGCTGTAGGTGGTGGGGTTCTTACCGTTGAGGTCATATCCCAGTGATGCCTCCAGTTGTGCCAGCGTGTTGCCACGGGCGCCCAGCTGCAGAAGTCCCAAGGACAGCGAGACGCTCACCGGCGACACGATCAGGTTGGAGTTGTTCTCGGTCTCTTTGAGCGCTTTGTAGAGGCTGACGGCGAACTCTGTGTGCAGCTCTCCCATGGTGTCCTGAAGGCTAGCGTCACACTGACCCCTCTCCACCAACCAGAAGCAGACGAACAGTGAGGTGATCGACAGGCGACGCATGGCCTTGGCGGTGCAGGGTCAAAGGTAATATAGAGATGATGATGTCAGAGGGGGCGGGTCCACAGAGATGGGATCACTGCAAAGAAGTGTTTGTGATGTTATGACTTTATAACAATGCGTATAGAGGCCTATTGTGTTGTTTCAATACATTGACTGATTTATTTATTTCATTTGCCAGTTTAAAAACCAAACATATCCTCAGTAGCGTTATGACGGGGAGAGCACAATAAAGCCAATGGCTTCTTTCCATTGTTGTCCCTGATGATATCAAGTAAGATACATTCATTACATTTTAGTCATTTAGCAGACGCTCTTATCCAGAGCGACTTACAGTTAGTGAGTGCATACATTATTTTTTTTATTTTTTTTTTCATACTGGCCCCTGTGGGAATCGAACCCACAACCCTGGCGTTGCAAACGCCATGCTCTACCAACTGAGCTACATCCCTGCCGGCCATTCCCTCCCCTACCCTGGACGACGCCCCATGGGTCTCCCGGTCGCGGCAGGCTACGACAGAGCCTGGATTCTAGTGGCACAGCTAGCACTGCGATGCAGCGCCTTAGACCACTGCGCCACTCGGGAGGTTACGAATCGGTTTTTGATGGAATCATGGAATAACTTTTCATTGTGAAACGCTTGTTCAGTTACTGCCTGACTCTCTCTTATCCTGAGCCCCCCCACGTGCCTGCCCTTTCCATAGAAGGCCAAGTATCATAGTGGGCCACTGTCATCCCCATTCAATTAAATCAATTAAAGAGCAATGTTGACCTGCAGCAAATGTAGACCTCTTGAACCAATAATTAATTCATCCTATTTTGTAGCCGGGAAATTACATGCACCACATTGAGTTAATGTTGTTTATACAGTATAATATATACAGTACTGCTTGAAAGGACGTGAACCCCTTGTGCAATTACAGATTCTTTCCGTTTTTTTAACCATGAAATCAAAGGGCGAGATCGTTAGGAAAGAGTTTTGTCGGGACTCTGATAAATAGAGATAAGAAACCTGGTCAGTTTGGTGTTACCCATCCAGGTGAATGCAAAGCCGAGAGGAAAGGCGATCTCAGAGGACATCAGGACGAGAATAGTGAGAGCACATCAGTCTGGGGATCTCAGAGGACATCAGGACGAGGGTAGGGAGAGCACATCAGTCTGGGGATCTCAGAGGACATCAGGACGAGGGTAGTGAGAGCATATCAGTCTGGGGAAGGCTATAAAAGAATCTCAAAAAGATTTCAGCTCCATCAGTCCACTGTGAGGCAAATAATGTACAAACGGAGAGCATTTAACATGACAGCAACTCGGCCTAGAAGTGGACGCCCTTCCAAAATATCCCCAAGAGCCACAAGAACAATAATAAATCGGGTAAAAGCCAACCCAAACATAACGCCTAGATATTTTGCGGACCTCCCTTGCTGCATCTCGGGTAACTGTGCTTGCGTCAACAACAAGAAGAACGCTGAATTGAAATGCCATTCATTGGAGGGTTGCTAGGAAGAAGCATCTGCTGTCAAAAAAAGAACCAAACTGCCCGTCTTAACTTTGCCAGAGACCACCGGGACATACCTGAAGGTTTCTGGAAGTTCATTCTCTGAACCGATGAGTCCAAAATTGACCTTTTTGGTCACAATCAACACCGCTATGTTTGGTGAAAACCCAACGCTGCCTACCACCAAAATAACCTTATCCCAACAGTCAAGCATGGTGGTGGTAATGTCAAGATCTGGGCTGCTTTTCCTCTTCTGGACCTGGATGACTCCACATCATTAAGGGAACCATGAATTCTGAGGTATACCAGGAGATTCTTGAACAGAACGTCAGGCCATTAGTCAAGGGGCTAAAGCTGGGCCGAAAAATGAGTCTTCCAACAAGACAACGACCCAAAGCATTCAAGCAAATCTACCAAAGAATGGCTCAGGAGAAAGAAGATTTGTGTTTTTGGATTGGCCAAGTCAAAGTCCTGACCTGAATCCAATCGAGATGCTGTGGCAGGACCTGAAGCGGGCAGTTCATGCCAGACACCCCTCAAACCTCACTCAATTGGCTGAGTTCTGTAAGGAGGAGTGGGCAAAAATCCCTCAAAACAGAGACTGATTACTGGCTATAGGAGACGTTTAGTCCAAGTTACCGCTGCTAATGGAGGTGCCACAAGCTATTGACTGAAAGGGTTCACATATTGTTGCACACATCAAATCTGAGTTTCTGTTAAACAAACAATGAAAATATATATATTTTTTGTTTCTGTCATTTACTTGGAATGTATTTTATTACGAATTGGTCTTTTAGATAAGGATTTGATATGTTTATTTTAATATTTTATAGCAAAATAATGACCAGCCCTGTAGGGTTCACATACTTTCAAGCAGCACTGTATATATACATAGATACATACGTACATACGTACACTACATGACCAAAAGTATGTGGAAACCTGCTCGTCGAGCATCTCATTCCAAAATCATGGGCATTAATATGGAGTTGGTCCCCTCCTTTGCTGCTATAACAGCCTCCACTCTTCTGGGAAGGTTTTCCACTAGATGTTGGAACATTGCTGCGGGGACTTGCTTCCATTCAGCCACAAGCGCATTAGTGAGGTCAGGCATTGATGTTGGGCGATCGATTAGGCCTGGCTCGCAGTTGACGTTCCAATTCATCCCAAAGTTGTTCGATGGAGTTGAGGTTTAGGGCTCTGTGCAGGCCAGTCAAGTTCTTCCACACCGATCTCGACAAACCATTTCTGTATGGACCTCGCTTTGTGCACAGGGGCATTAACATGCTGAAACAGGAAAGGGCTTTCCCCAAACTGTTGCCACAAAGTTGGATGCACAGAATCGTCTAGAATGTCATTGTATGCTGTAGCGTTAAGATTTCCCTTCACTGGAACTAAGGGGCCTAGCCCGAACCATGAAAAATAGCCCCAGACCATTATTCCTCCTCCACCAAACTTAACAGTTGGCACTATGCATTGGGGCAGATGGTGAAGCGTGATTCATCACTCCAGAGAAAGCATTTCACTGCTCCAGAGTCCAATGGCGGCGGCAAGCTTAACACCACTCCAGCCGACGCTTGGCATTGCGCGTGGTGATCTTAGGCTTGTGGAAAGGTGAGCTCCTCAGCAGGGTCATTCTACTGTGAATGTTTGTCTATGGAGATTGCATGGCTGTGTGTTTGTCTATGGAGATTGCATGGCTGTGTGCTCGATTTTATTCACCTGTCGCAACGGGTGTGGCTAAAATAGCTGAATCCACTAATTTGAAGGGGTGTCCAGATACTTTTGTATACGTACAGTACTTTCAGAAAGTATTCAGACCTCTTGACTTATTCCACATTTTGTTGCCTTACAGCCTTATTTTAAAATAGATTAATTGCTTCTTTTTTTTAAGTAAAAAAAGTTCTGATAATTCATTATAAATCCATAAATATACGTAGCCTGTAATGATCACGACTGACATATCAGCCTATGCAAATGTTCCTTCCCAATCCCAAGTGGACATAACTAGTATCTATTGTAGCCTATACATTCCATCCACATTTTAATAAGCCCAAGCTAATGGATAACCACAGAAGACAACAGATAGGAAACTTTAATTCTCTGAAATCATTTAAAAGTTAAAACCCACCTCAGTTATGGGTCTGTTTATAATTACGCATGGCCCTAAACATGACAAATTCACCTGCAAGAAACTTACCCGGAAGACGGGTACAGAGAAAGGCTACAATTATTTCGGTTTTCCGCTCCAATTCCAGGCAGTTGCCTCCAAATATCCGATGTCCACAAAAGTACGCTATCGCTGGAGAGCTTGTTTGCGCCGATGTTCCTCTCACCTCTCCTGTCCCGGTGTTTTGTAAGCTACTCCTGTCTGCTCCTTGCTTAGCCAGCTGATTGAGCGGGTTCTCAGTCATAAGACCGTGTTTAAAGGGAGTGCGCCGTGTTCGCGGTCTCTCTCGGAGATGTCCGTACCATTCGACTATGCTAGAATTCCTAGCTCCCTAACCCTAACCCTCCCCGGTCCGGTACTATAAGGAGCCAGGCGGAGGGAGGCATGTCACCAACCAGCAAATCCCAAAAAAACGAGCTGAGAAAAAAAAAGACTCACACACACACACACACACACTTCACAAAAGACAGTCGGTCCCCTTATTCAAGCAGCTTGCCCTTTTGTTGTGGTGATCAAAAGGCATCCCCCAACAAGAGTACAACAACATGCTGACCATCAAAGTGCTGTGTCGGCGCGTCTAATTGGGAGACACTCAATGGAATGTGCCATTTTAAATGATCTGGTAATGAATGATTTGTGAGTCCTGTTTTGGACACTTTACCTCACCCATCATCTCTATAGTTCTGACCCAAGGAACCCTGACAGAAATATCATTTTTGTGGTCTTGTGTGGCTCAGTCGGTAGAGCATGGCGCTTGCAATGTCACGGGTCGTGGGTTTGATTCCCGCTGGGGCAACCCATATGTACAGTAAAACTAAAAACGTATGCTTTGGATAAAAGAGTCTGCTAAATGGCATTAGTATTATTATGATGAGAGAGAGAGAGAGAGACAGAGAGAGAGAGAGAGACAGAGAGACAGAGAGAGACAGAGAGAATCAATAACCTCCAGTCCTGGTCTGCATGGGACATGATGTTGTGAACTTCCCTCCTCAGAGCCAACTGAATGTGACTTTAAACTGTTATTTCTTGTAAGCTAGGACCTTTTTTAATTAAACGTAGTATCTTGTGTTTTATTTAAAGTTGTCTCTAAATGTAACTGTGCATTTTGCATATTTTTAGTCTTGTCGACTGTAAACGGAAAGGATATAAATCGAATCAACTCTATTAATTAGTATCCCCATGACGACTAACTGGCCTTGAAACAGAAGATGTGAAGACACCATTTTCCCATGGTGAACTGAAGGAAGGAGGGACCTAGACAGGGCATGATTGGTAGCCATCAGGTATTTGGCTTCATTGTGGCCTGGGATTCCTCCCATTACTGGAACTGTCCTAATG